AAGGATCAAAAGTCTTATATTCTGAGTTGAAGTAAAGGGAAAGACCATGCTTACAGCAGAGCCAACATTTGAAGTGGATTTCTTAGACATTTCATCACCTACAAACAGAACTGGAAGAGATTACCAAAAGAACAAAAAGAGACTAATAGAGTTGGAAAAAAATCACAAAAATGAATCCGTTGAATGGAAAGATCAAATATATAAGACTACATACATATCAGTATACTATATACTATTTTTTTTTTAAAGCTCACCAACAAAAGGAAACAGTATGTAACTTAGAGATGTATGTATAAAAACTGAAGGAGAAAAGCAAACTAATGATTGATTCAGGGTACTTGCCTCTCAGGTAGAAGCGCAGACTGGGAATTGGAATTGAGAAGGAACGCTAATGTAGAGTCAGTCCTACCAGAAGTGTTCTAGTTCTTAATTAGGGAGTGGGTACATAAGTATGTTATTAGTACACTCAATAATGTCCACATTACGTGTATTTTTGTATATGTATCAAATACTACATACAGAAATATAGTGACCAGTGGCTGCCAGAGGCAGTTGAAGGGAGTAGGGGAAATGGGTGAAGGAAAGCAAAGGCATAAACTTCCAGTTCTAAGTCCTGGGGATGTTATGTACAGCATTGTAACTACAGTTAGTAATACTGTATTATATACTTGAAAGTTGCTATGGATGGTGATGGATGTTTAACTAGACTTACTGTGGGGACCATTTCACAGTACACACTTATTGAATCATTATGCTGTACACCTGAAACTAATAAGTCAATTACATCTCAATAGAATAACAAGAGAGTGACAAAAAAGGAGAAATATGGTGACCAGAAATACCTTTATACTACTAAGACTGTGAAAAAGCAAACCATCTCCCCATAAATGTATATATACCATCTTATGGAAGCAGAGTTAAATAGCTGGTTAGTTGGAACACTGAACTTTTTCAGTAATAAAGAACACTGGTCAGCCAACGACTGACCAGTTGTAAATCCCGAAATAATGTCTTTGAAGCCATTTTTAAACCTAAAATTCAGAGTTATCGTAGAGATTAAAATATTATTTAAAATGTTATTATAAAGTGGTACAGACTATACATTTAAAAATTACACATATCAATACTCCCTATGACTAGTACTCAAATTTAAGAAATTCCTCATATTCTAAAGTGTTTGTTCAGGTAAACTGAATTTAGTCTCAACTATTAAAATAATAGAAGGGTGATTTGTTAAAACAGCAATGAAAACCACCAGAATTTTTTGCATTCAAATACAGTTTGCCCTCAAAGAAGCTATATACTTAATTTATTGAAGTTACTATTGGCTCAGGGTAATTTTAGTACTCTTCCACTAAAACTGTTTACTTTTGAAAAAAATTTCCAGTGAAAGAAAACATTCTTTGAGGGTAGATTTCACCTGTGATAAGCATAAAATATTTTGGATCAGATATGATGAATAAAGTCCACAATACCGTAATCAAGGTAAGACCCTACTCAAAATTAACATGACTATCGTGGGACCAATTCTCTTAGATGACTTCAAATGGACTCTTTAGGCTGTTTTTTCAAAGAGGAGTTTCAGAGAAGTTTTTAGCAATGGCAAAAAAAAAAACAAACAAAACAAAACAAAACAAAACAAAAAAATATATATATATATATCATCACAAAGTTACTACCAAGGTGGGCAACATTCATCTTAATGCATAAAGAATCTCATTTCTATATAGTACAAGTCTGCAATTGCTGAAGGTACAATTGCTTAGTGACTGATTTTATCAGTTACCTTTTAACTTCTGCAAGGGTAAAAATCTTCTTATTTTCAGTTTAACAGAAAGATCCTTTTTATGAGAAAAATATTGCAGCTTACTAAATTGATTTGTATTTGAGAGATGGAGAATAAAGAATTACATTGCTTTGATAAGATTCTATAAAAGTAATCAATGAGAAGCAAAGTTTTATTGACTGTATAGAAAGATGTTCCTATTTATAATAGATGCATGCAATATATTTTAACCAATAAATAGCACTGATAGGAACCCAACTCTTTGAGCTCAATACTTGATAGTGTATATGATAATTTATTATTTTGATTTGCTCTGGAGTATTACTACACAAATTTACATACAGTTTTAAGAAAATATTATATTGAAGTTTTACTGCTGCTTGTAACTCCACATAAAGGGAAAAAGAGACAAAGCCAATGGCATCCCAATAATAATTTCTTTCAAAGTCTGAGATGAAAAATCACAGAAACATTCTTAACTGATAAGACATGAAAGAGATTCTAAATGCATTCTATACCATATAACACACAGTGGACAAAGGAACAGAAAAATTTTCATGTTCATCATTTACAAGGGTAGTTTATGCAATTTCAACAATCTCTTAACCAGACATTTAACAGCATTTTAAGTTCAAAATACATTTGGTAATTAAGAGAATGAACAATAATACTCAGAGGGAATACAAAGTTTATTCAAATATTAAAAAATAATCAATTAGTTACACGGAATATAGTGAAATGAGTCAAAAAACAAGATCGAGTAATTTGTTTTTAAAGTGGCAGTGCAATAGTAAAGCAGTGGTTTAATGACTATGGGAAAATCACACAAAATCACCTAGAAATGTATCTTGAAGAAATAATATGCAAATTTTCATGTTTTCTTTTTTCCATGTACAATTTGAAAGTTTAGCTCTATTTTATAATCACTTTTTGATAGGCATTATTAACATCTTGAGGTTAAAGTTACAGGCCTCACAATTAAGGAGCCATCTTAGAATATTTCATCTCTTTACACCTATGAATACAATCATCTTTCACCTGAGTGATTCCTTCAGCCTGATTCTCATTTCATATCTCCAAGAAGGTGTGTTTAATAAAAAGACTGTGCATATGATTCCACTCTTTATCTTTCTGACCACTGTCAGGTCCTCCAAAGCTGTGCTTCTGACTGCCCACGTAATGTAACAAACAGCCACGTGTTTGGTTTACTTCACGCGACTTCTCTCATAAGTGGTTCATATTTTATGGGTAGCTGGGGTACCAACTTAGTGTGTTGGATGAGTACTGTGTAAATAAAAACCAGAATTGGAAATGTAACATCTTTATGTTCCTAAATTCTATACACATGACAAAGGCAGAAATGTTAAAGAAAAAAATATTTTAAATAATCTTAGAAATAAGATCAAAATCCCCTTCACCACAAAATAAATATAACTAACTAGTAACCACAGCCAGATAAGCAATGTAATGCAAGAAAGCCATTAGATATGACAAATACACAGTTGAAGCCAGGTTTTGAGACTTACTCTGTACATCCAGCCAGTTGTAGCCAGTCTAGTAAATGCTGTAGAGTTAAACACTTTTGGGATTGACTGAATATGGTTGTAGTTATAGAAGAGAACACTGGTCCAGATCCAGCATGACACATGACCTTGTCTATAGGCTCAGAGCAAAAAAATGGCATAATTTGGGAACTTTTAAATCTGCTCCATGAAAGGCCTTTTTCTGCTACCCTGAGCTCTCTTACAATTTGCCTTTTTTTTGGAGGGTCTATTACACCTAGCAGGCACTGGCTTTTGTATTGTGGCTTTTTGACCTACCGCACTAACAAGCCCAGGTTGCCATTTAATGAGGAGCGCCAGAGCTAGTAGGCAATGAACTTTGGGGCTGGCTGGATGGGGTTTGTGTTCTTCGCTCCCCTGCTTCTCTGTGAACCAGAAGACTGACCAGCAGTGAGTTATACTAAATTCTAAGGCATGACTAAAGGAAACTTTAGAAAGGTCTAGAAGAGAGGTATCAAACTGCATTGCAAATACAAAATAGAATATTTTAATATTCCTCATAAATATTTATAAAAATATATACATATAATGAATAGGACATTTTATAATGCTGGTTAAAACCATGAAAAGCTGTTTAATCAGTAGGTATATGAATATCCTGGCTTCAAGTTAATGTACAGAAATATTTTCAATTAAAGTTCAATAAATATACCAAAGGGGATTAAATAAAATAGGAAAAATCTGTCTTACCAACGGTATCTTTTACTGGTAATGATGGACTTGAACTAATCACTAAACTATAGTCTATAGAGGGTTTATGTAAAAATGCATTCATTGTTCTGATAATAAATTCAGATTCTGTACAGTTAGAAACACCAGGATGGTGGCAAATAGCAAGAAAGGAAGTTCAAAATCAAAAGATTAAGTCAAAAAAGAGTTGAACATATTTTCAGGTTCCCCTCACGAGGGAGTCACGTAAGCAGTACCGTTTTTTCCTCAAGGTTTTTTGATTGGGCACAGAATAACATCAACTCTAAAGCCTTCCTCTAGTATTTACTCTGGTTCAATTTTTGCTTAGTATGTAAATATTCCTTTTTGTATGAGATGAAAAAATAAAAGTGTACATTCGTTCAGGTGGAAGAATTAGTTCAGTTAGGTCTTTTGGTGTCTTAACAAGTCAAACTGAAATTAAGATCTTGTAACACTCCTATAAGCTTCTGAAAATGCAGCCAAGTGGCATGCAGAAAGAGTTTCTACTTCTGTAAATATCCGAGAAATTCAAAAATCAACTAGAAAAAAAGCAAGGCATAAATTCATCAGCACCAAATGGAATTGCTCTTTAAAAGGAGGTCTCTTATGTATCCTGAAAATCCTGATGTTGATGAACAGCTTCTCATCTGCCCTCTAGGAAAAATCCACTGCCTAAGGTTAACACCTTTAGGTAAAAGGAGATGTAAAATTCAGCAAATGACTGTTTTACATTTTGATTCATCCACACTTTTTAAAATGGGAATTTCAACATTTGGCATGACTTTAAACGTTTTTTCAGAGAAGGTATGGTTTCAGGTTAGAATGTCTTCCTTCCCTACTCAATTATTTGCTAAAGTGGGAAGAAATAAATTTAACTTAATTACTAATAATCCTTTACCTACTATTCCAGAAGTTGCACTTAGTCACAATACAACAGTTTACATTTAAATAAGACTCTAGTAGTAGTTAAAGTTGTTCAAAGATGGTCAACAGAATCCTGGTCATCCTTGACTATCACACAGGACTAAATCGTTGATGGCTGAAACTCAAATCACATGCAGTCAACCACATTATTGGGTCCATGACCTACATCTCGAATTTGGCTAGTTAAACAGGCACACACAGCTACACCTGCTCCAGCTCTGCAATGAGACACAGATCCAACCAGTTCCCACCTGAAAAGATAGAGAAAGAATGTTACCTCAAAACAAAGCATGATTTACTTTACTCAAATACCAACAAGATAAAAATTGCCTATTAAGGGACTGGTTTTGAAAGACACCAAGCTTCCTTAGGGAGATGAGATATCCCAAATGTTTTGTGTTAATTTCATCTAGCAGCATTTTAGCACTGTGAAATACTCAGTTACTGGAAGATCCCATTAAAGCATAGAGATAACAGAAGTTACCTATTCAGCACTGGATCAAATGCTTCTACAGTATTTAAGTATGCGTTGCCATTATGACCACCAACTGCAAAGATCTTGCCCATCACTGTTGCGATCCCCACTCCACCCCTGGGAGTGGTAAGTGCTGCTACATAATCCCACTTGTTGCTTCGAGGGTCATACCGCTCAACTGAACTCAGAGGAGAATTATCATCAAAACCACCTATAGAGAGAAAAAAATTTTTTAGAGCATGACATTTTATAGAAATTAACTGCTAAGGCTCAGTTCTACAAACCTAATCGTTTAAAAACATTTTAGAAAACAGAAAATCAGGGAAAAAAATTCACCTCAACACCTATCACCACTACCAACTCCTGTTAAATATTTTCTACAATTCATGATAACTGACATAGTATTTTATTGCAATACAAGGATTTAATCTTAATGTGGGAAACATTGGAGTCCTGTATCTAAGAAGATAATTGAAGAGAAAAGGAAAAATAAAACAGACATTCCTGTAATTTTTCCTTAGCTTCCTATGAGCAAGACAGCACCGAGATTCTTCTCTGTGTGTATATGTGTGTACTATTATATTTTTAAACAGTAACAGGGCTTGAGAAGAGAATAAACTACATTAAGTCATTTGACTCATTTAAATACGTTAAAGTTTTCCAACTGTTTCCTTTGAAACGATACTTGCTGCCATACATAGAAATGGTGAACTAGGATTGAAATCTTTCTTTAATGTATATTTTATTGATTATGCTATTACAGTAGTCCCATTTTTTTTCCTCTTCTTTAGTCCCCTCTGCCCTGCATCCCACCTCCCACCAGCATTCCTCCAACACTTTAGTTCATGTTCACGGATCGTAAGTTCTTTGGCTTCTTCATTTCCAATACTAGTCTTAATCCCCCCATCTATTTCGTGCTTACAAATTAGGCTTCTTAAATTCCCTGTACCTGCACCTCCATTCTCCCCTCTCCCCCTCCCCACTGATAACCCTCCATGTGATCTCCATTTCTGTGATTCTGTTCCTGTTCTAGTTGTTTGCTTCGTTTGTTTTGGTTTGTTTGTTTTTTCTTTTAGGTTCAGTTGTTGATAGTTGTGTCTTATCATTTTATCGTTTATAGTTTTGATCTTCTTCTTAGATAAGTACCTTTAACATTTCATATAACAACAGCTTGGTGATGATGAACTCCTTTAACTTGACCTGATCTGGGAAGCACTTTATCTGCCCTTCCATTCTAAATGAGAGCTTTGCTGGACAGAGTGATCTTGGATGTACGTCCTTGTCTTTCATGACTTTGAATACTTCTTTCCAGTCCCTTCTTACCTGTAAGGTTTCTTTTGAGAAATCAGCTGATAGTCTGATGGGAACTCCTTTGGAGGTAACAGTCTCCTTTTCTCTTGCTGCTTTTAAGATTCTCTCCTTATCTTTAATCTTGAGTAATGTAATTATGATGTGCCTTGGTGTGTGCTTCCTTGGGTCCAGCTTTTCTGGGGCTCTCCGAGCTCTTGGATCTCCTGGAAGTCTATTTCCTTTGCCAGACTGGGAAAGTTCTCCTTTATTATCTTTTCAAATAAATTTTCCATTATTTGCTCTTTCTCTTCTCCTTCTGGCATCCCTGATTCGGATAGTGGAATGCTTGAAATTGTCCTGGAGGTTTCTCAGCCTCTCCTCATTTTTTCTGAATTCTTGTTTCTTCATTTCCTTCTGGTTGAATGTTTATTTCTTCCTTCTGCTCCAAATCATTGATTTGAGTCCTGGTTTTCCTTCTCTTTACTGTTGGTTCCCTGTATATTTTTCTTTATTTCACTTTGCATAGACGTCACTCTTTCCTCTATTTTGCAACCATACTCAACCATTTCTGTGAGCATCCTGATCACCAGTGTTTAGAACTCTGCATCTGATAGGTTGGCGCTCTCTTCATCACTTAGTTCTTTTTCTGGAGTTTTGATCTGTTTTTTCACTTGGGCCATATTTCTTTGTCTCAGCACACCTGTTATGTTGTAAGTGGCGGAGCCTTAGGTATTTGCCAGGGCGGGGTAACACAGGTCACTGCACTGTGATGCTGTACGTGGGACAGGATCACAGAGGGGCCAATGACGCTTGCTTGGATCTCAGCAGGCTTTCAGTCACTTCCCCTGCTACCCAAAAGCAAACTGGGCCCTTCTGGTGCTGATTCCCAAGTGGGTGGGTTTGTTTATGTTCTAGGACCCCCGTGCATCTCCAACAGACTCTCCTGTGAGGCTGGGAGTTTCTCCCGCTACTGTAACCCCCACAGATTTTTTACAGCCAGAGATTTTGAGGCTTTCTTTTCCTACGGCGGAACCCTGGGTTGCATGTCCGTCTCCCTCTTCTATTGTTCCTCTGGGTTTATCTGCATGCAAATGTGGGACTGCCAGCCAGCCACCATCATGCCCTCCCGGTCCTCCAGCTGCCGTCCTGCCATGCATCCTGTCTGCCCGGGCTGCCCATTTCTTCTTTAACCCCTTGGTTGTCAGACTTCCATACAGTTCAAATTTCTCACAGTTCTGCGTGTTTTTTTTTTTTTTAAACTTGTTGTTGTCCTCCTTTTGGTTGTGCAGGAAGTCAGAGTGTATGTACCTATGCCTCCATCTTGACCAGAAGTTTCTAGCATTGAATCCTTACCAATTTTTGCCAAAAGTACACTCTCATGATATAGTACTGTAGGTGGTGACAGTCCTCTCTGCAGACCATTCCAGCAGTGTTATTTATAATATCCCTGAGGGTTAAGCATAGACCGCTACTTTAACAGTGCTTTTCCTCTACAAATAAATGTCTCTTTAGGTTCTATCTCAGTCTACATGGGTAACAGTTCTCTTTGGTGACTAGGCCTATTTTCCTGAGGACAGAAAGTGTTGATGTTACGATCAGCTTATGTAGAAACAAGGTTAGTAAAAGGAATATCAACAGGCAACTTCTCTAATGGGTTTAACTTGATGTAATCAGCTGATGTAAAATTCATCGAATTTATGTGCATAATTTGACAAATTTTAGCAAATGTATCAACAAATGATAACAACTATCATCACCACCACAACCATGATACAGAGCATTTTTTCACTATAAGAGTTTAGTTTTAATTATTGCTCATGCTAATGCAAAAGATTAAGTTTTTATTGGTTATATTTTTCACAGCCCTCTCTTGCACTGGCTCCCTATCATTTCTCTAGGTAATGCATATAAATGTATAAGGAAGAATTCAAAGCAGAGGAAAAGAGGATGCAACTAGCTTGTGAGACATGGGCATACGGTTACCTCCAAAGCTTTCTTATTCAAATCAACCATACTTGCTTCAAGTAGGATTTGAAGACTAAGAGGGGTTTTTGTAATTTCAACCTGAGTCAGTCTTATTCTTACGAAATCTGTTCCAACTACAAGGTTACATTTAAAAGTAACAGCAACAATGACATTCCTACTGACATAATACATATAATGCCTGTGCTGAACAGGGTGCTGTGATATGGCAACTGTGTATTGGAAAATCTGACCCAAGTCCAAATTCCAGTTTTGTCCTTGTTTAGGCATGTGACTATGAGTAAATTATTCACTCTTTCTGAGTCTGACAACTTCACAGAACTGCTATGATCAGGCAAGATCTAAAGGTAAACTATTTTTAACACACATGAGCACTGGAAAATTCGGCATTACTTTTATTACCTGCAGATATTGAAATGCTAACACTATCCTACTCTCTTTTCAAAAACTCTAAGTTATGTAACACCAAACAATTTACATCAATGTAAGTATGACATGTGCTAGTAACAAACTCTGAATTTGTTTCTTCCTCGGTAAAGGAATTACTAATCTTAATATAGCTACCTATTTATTGGGTAACTACAAAGTACCAGATGCATTTTGAGATGCATAACATAGATTACCTCCAATTCTTAGAACAATTCTGAAAGAAAGGCGTTATTATTGCCATCTCTTGGTCCTTTCAAAACCTTACATTGGAAGTGAATGGACCAGAAGTGGCATCAATTATCACTACAGAAGTGATAGAAACACAGAATCTGGGTCCCTCCTTTGCAATTTAACAATACCTCCATATTATTCATATGTATATTAAAGTTTGAGAAAGCACTGCCCTCTGGTTCCTTCCAACTCTGTAATTCAGTAGGTCATAAATCAATATAACAATGCCAACACCCATTAGGTATACCTTAAAAGAGTCAACATAATTCCCCTGAAATGGGAAAAACATGCCTTAGATCTTTAAAGATTTTAGCAAAGCACATTGAATTTGTGCCCTTAGATTAAAAAATATGTATCTTATTTGAATGTAATCTCTTACTTTAGGTAAGAGATTGATCCTAGGAGTAGCAAGTATATCTAAACTTCTACATGGAGGTAGAAGTTTCAAACATGAAAGAGGAAGATATAAGCAAAAAAGAATGAATGTGAACCCTAAGAATTCAAAAGCAAACCTTAGGCCAGTTCCTACTTGAACCTAAATGCATTATAATTTGTGTTATTGTATTGTTTTATAACACTGTCATTGTATATCCTGTGATAAATTAGACCAGAGAAATACCATCCACTCACCAACAACATATAAGCAACCATGGAGCTCACTAACTCCATTGCCCGCTCTTCGTTGACCCATCTCTTTAACTTCTATCCACTTATCCAGATGTGGATCATACCTCTCCACACTAGATAAAGAAGCTACTCCATCGTTGCCACCTACTGCATAAACATGGTTCTAAGTAAAGAGAAAATAAAAACATATCACGTTATATTTTGAATTTATATATTATCCTAATGGTAGATCAGAATCTTGAAAGAAAGCAGCATTTTGTAAAATAATATGGTATATAATCGATATGTGCACATTGAAGATATGAATATACCAGATCTTCCTTATTTGATTAGGGATGTGATGCAATGCAATCCAATGAGCGAGTTGCCATATAACTTACTATTAGAGCCACAGAGCCAACTCCTCCACGGGGAATATTCATTGGTGCGACTGTACTCCACTGATCACATTCTATGTCGTATCTCTCCACATAGTTAAAGCAAGTGTTGTCATCTAATCCTCCAATTGCATAAATTGGGCCTCCTAAGGAAGCCAAGGCAATTCCTCGCCTGCACAGATGATAAAACACACTTTTGCATCTGGGCTTGTTTTCAGAAAACAGGTAGCAAAAAAAAAAAAAAAAAATTGTGCTAATGCAGATCTTTCATGATGTTAAACTTCAATGTGTATTTAAATTTATCAAAGCTACTGAATAGATGGTTCCCGTGTTGCCAAATGTGCAAGTCTATATGAATAGTGCCCTCTGGAGTTTTATGGTACATAGCCTACACAGGTTATTTTAAATTCAAATGAAGTAATAAGGTAAAATCCAACAAAATACTATAGATGGAGTCCAAAATATTCAATTAGTAAAACATAGTTGCACAATTGAGAGGCTGATGAACTGAAAGATGGTTTACTATGGAAATCAAAAGTCAATGTCATTTCTAAATTCATGTAATTTGCGAAGGATGTTTTCTTGCAGGGTTTCATTATATCGCACAAAAAAACATCAATTTTTATATTACAAACTTTATGTCACATTGCTTTATTTATATATTTATTTCTCTTCTTGGAAAGAGATTTAGCCCATGTTAAATTACTGTAATGATGGTCAGAAAAAGATTACATAAATTTCTTAAAAACCACATTGCAGCCATCAAAAGTTGAACTATTCTAGAACTATTATCTGTCACTGACTTGGTATGTACTTTGGATAAAGTAGTGTATTTTATAGATCTTTACTACCTTGCTTTTTCATCTGTAACCCATTTGAGAGAGGAGGAGATACAGCTGACGTTAATCAGTTAATACAGGTAAAGTACTAAGAACAGTGACAGGCCGATATTTAGTGCTATGTATTAGCTATTGTTATTGGTGAGAGCAGCTGTTCTACTCAGATTCTAACTCTAAGTTACCAAAGGAGTATCCTAGGAAAGAATTCTTAAGGGTAGATAATGTTGTCATTCATTTTCAGTCACCTTAACCTCTTTTCTCTTGAGTATAAAGTAATGACTTACAAAATACTGTGGTTACAAAAATTTTCAGGTGTGTGAACACACGTGCGCACTCTAGAACACAACGGTGCTATATCATGGCAGAAATAAATGTGCCTAATAATTTCCCTCACCCTTCACACACCACAGCAGAAGAGCACATGACATTGGATAGTTTCTATTTCTCAAAACTCTCCTCTTGATTTTCAGTGCATCACATGTTGGAGTTCCTTCCTACATCTCTGGCTGGTGCTTTTCAGCTTCCTCAAGCAGTGCCTTCTTTTCTATTCCTTTGTTAAATTATGAAGTTCCCTAAGGCCTCTCATCACCCTATCATCTCTCTTTATAGGCAATTTCATCATTTCAGTGGATTTATGATAACTCTAATATCCGGATATATATCCAACTTCTACCTCTAATCTGTCTTGCTGGCTCTTCAACCTTCACTTTAGTCTGACATGAAACTCACTATCTACTTCCCTATGACAGGCAGAATTTTAAGGTGCCCCCACCAGGATATTCACCCTCTAGTTTTTGCTTATGATATGCTACATTATATGGCAAAGGTGATATTACATGAGTGTCTACTCTAATCATATACGCCCTGTAGAAGCAGCGAGGTTTATCCAACTGGCAGCAGAAGACAAGTCAGAAACTTAAAGAATGAGGTGGCTTCTGCATACCACTCCTTGTCTGACAATAGAAGGGAACACTTGGCAAAAACCTGAGAGCAGTCTCTAGGAGCTGAGAGTAGCTGCTGGCCAACAGCCAGTAAAAATGAGGACCTCAGTCCTACAATCATAAGGAACAGAAAACTATCAATAACCTAACCGACCCTAGAAGAAGTTTCTTCTCCAGAGCCTCCAGCTAAGAACATAGCCCAGTATACACCTTAATTTTGGCCGTGTGAGTCGCCAAGTGGGAAATGTAGTCATACCTGTTGGACATCTGACCTATGGAACTGTGAACTAATAAATGGATGTTGTTTTAAGATGCTAAGTTTGTGGTAATTGGTTACACAGCAATAAAATATTAACAGACCCACAAGACAGAAAAAAAGTTTATGCTGTTCCTGTCTTACTTTGCCTAATGCAAAAAAATCGCTTCATTATCCATATATAGATGCTTAAACCATGAAAAAATAATAAGGTAGAGGCCAAGGATCATCCTTTTCTCTACCTTATTATTTTATTTTTCTTTCTAGCTCCCACACCTAATTATCTTGTTGATAATACACCTCTGAACTATCTTCCAAATCTGTCCTCTTTTTCTCTGTCCTCCCTTCTACTACTTTAGTCCAAGCTACCATTATTTCTTGACTGAAATATTACAACAATCCTTTTAGTCTCCCAGACTGTTTTAATGCTGGTCCTTCTCAAATCCCTTTTCCATTTCACATGCAGACAATCTCAGAAATGACAAACATGACTTTATAATTCCCATGCTATTAAAAAATGTGTGTGTGTGTGTATGTGTATTTCAAAGCCCACTAGATAAAATAAATCTTGGCAAACCTGAAAAGACCCTCATTTTTTGCCTACTGTGTCAGCCTTGTTTCTATTCACTATTCCCTTTGATCTCTCACCCATACTTGACATCTTTCATACTCTCTGCTCTGGTTCACCTCCAGATTTTCGACAATTCTTCATTTCTTTCCGCCCTCCAACCCCCCATTTTCCCACCCGCCACCGCTTAACTAGGCTAAATTATTCTATCACTTCAGATCTTAGGTTAAATGGGACTTCATTAAGATCTTTTCCACTTACCAGCACCCTTTACTTGCCATGTGCTAACATTACTACTGCCCTTGTAATCGTGTCTTTATTTGTATTTTCCCTTCTAGAATGTAGGCTCTGTGGAAGCAGGGACTTCGGCTGTCTTATTTATCACTGTATCTTCAGCACTTACTATGTCTTGCAATGGTTACTTAACTGGTATTTGCTGAATAAATAAATCAACCCCTAGAGATGCTCTGTTAGGATGATGGGTTTCAATAAAACCACAGGTTAAACAAACACCATTGTCTTTTAGTGGAAAGATGAAAAAGAAGGGGGGAAAAGTAAAGAAAACCAGTTATTTTACATGTGATTATGATCTTGGAATGCATACTGAAAAAAATGATTTGGGGGACTACAAATTGTTAAGCAAATAATGACAAAATAATTGTAGTTATATTATTTTTTTATATAGTTAGGTTGTTATTGTGAAGTACCCAGGGCGTATTTTAAAAGATTAAAGAAATTCAACTGCTATTTGCTACAGAAGTTTCAATTTTTCCCTAAAAACTAGCTTAGCATGATAAAGAGGCAGGAATATCAAGATTAAAAATGTATTTTAGGGTTTTCTCCCTCATTTTAGTTCATGCACTACAATTCAAACTAGTTATAGTAACTGTGTAGCATAAATCAAACACTATGGAAGTATTAAAATGTCACTTGTAGATAAATGGGAGGTAATAGCATATTTTAAGATTAGCCTTTTCTCCTAGGATTCTTTTGCCTCACAAGAAAAAAAGAAAGGCTACAAATAACATTTTAGCAGAACTCTCTTCAGTTTCATCTAATCTTTCATACTTAATAACATGAAGAAAACACAGTTAAAAACACTTCATTTTAAACTGATAAAGTATATAAAATTAGATGGCAATGTATCCCACGTACAGTTCAACCTGAATTTGCTTGCTTCAGCAACAAGTCACTTTCAGCTCTTACAGAATGTTGCTACTGTTTACAAATCATACCAGCCATAATGTCTGAAGTTTTGTTTGTTTTTTTAAAATAAAATTATAATAGAGTTGTTTTGATTTTTGTTCTCTATAGAAAGCTACTCTTAAGCAGTATTTTGAATGCTTATTCAGATAACCTGCTTTTTCTTTCCATTATTACATTTTCACTCTGAAACAAAGAGGCAGAATTATTGTAGCTAGATTTATGGAAATTATTAAGCTCAGGCTTTGAAATCCTCACCCTATTTGTTGAACTGTAAGTTTAAAAAATGAAAAGAACAGTTAAGCTAATCTCTTGCTTGGTGCAAAAAATATATTATCTTTCTGACATATAAAATTCCAGTCATTGGGAGGTATTATAGTATGCTGTATTATTATTAAATTGAACAATAAATATTTATTCCTTCCTTCTAAGACACCATACATCTCTTAAAATAAAGTATCTAGATACTCTCTTAAGTGCGTATGTCTCCAGACCAAAACTCTTCAACAATTTTTTACATGACATGATTTTCTCTTATTAGTCTGTACTTACACACAGCTTACATTTACAACAATTTTTTACATGACATGCTATCTCTTACTAGTCTGTACTTACAGCTTACATTTATAACAATTTTTTACATGACATGGTATCTCTTACTAGTGTGTACTTACACACAGCTTACATTTATAACAATTTTTGTGCACTACTATAGGCCACAACTATTTTCAAATTATAAACATGTATTACTGTACTAACAGATTATGTTCATTATAAAACATCTACTCAAAATAAATTTAAGAAGAGGAAATTAAAAATGTACAGAGGGTCTCATATTTTATTCCCATTCCCCAATTGATACTGCATATCCCACTTTGAGACCACAGCTATAGATACAGGCAGATCACCATGAAGAACAGTGCAACTGCAGTCTCCCTTGATTGAAAGGCTTCAATTCTTTTAATGTAGGCAACTATATTATATTTGCTTTTTTCCTTTCTTTCTTTTTTTTAGAGCACTGTGCAGTTACTTTTTTCCATATGAAACATAATCATAAACCTGACTTCACATTATGCTGTACTGGTGTAATTGATTTTTAAAAATTTAAAATTTTTTAAAATTGTTAAAAATTTAAAATTTAAAAAAATTTTTAAAACTTAAAATTTTTAAAATAAGACATAAAGCAGGTCTTAATCTATAACTCTAATTTTAATAGTTTTAGGTTTTGCTTCTAGATCTAAAGTATGTTTGGTCTACTATGTTTCTTAATTCTGATTTTGTCACATATCTAAAAATTTGGTATTTAACTCATTTAAAAAATTCTGAACAGGCTAGTCAATATGTTACTAAATACTTTCCTCCCTGTTAGACTGATCGATTTATCAACATATATTTCAATTTATTGTAGATGAAGATTTTTAAATATTAATACTCATAATGATAAAAAACAATTAATAGAAATTGTGGGATATTTTCTTATCATGTTAAAATCCATATACTTTAGTCCTAAAGCAATTATCTTATTAGGGAAACATTTTTAATTCTCAAGAAAATAAAAACGAGTTATAACAAAGCATCACATTGATGCTTTAACAAAATGTGTTTAAGATATTTAAAGGTTCTAAAAATGTAAAAGTAAAAAATTAGCCCTTTCAATCATAGGAAGCTTTATTTTCTACCAAAAAATCAAAATAAATTTCCAAGCTGATCTACCTCTTTGTGTTCATTGATGCCTTCATCATCCATTTATTAGTGAGAGGGTCAAACATCTCCATGCTACCTAAATGTTCATTTCCATCATGTCCACCTACTGCATACACTTTACCTGTCAAACAAAGAAGTATTTTCATTTGATTCCAAATAAACCTACAGTTATTTATATACATAATCAACATACGAGGTCTGTCCAGAAAAAATCCAACCACTGTCATTATTAATATAATAAAAACAGTTTGTGCCCTGGCTGGTGTGGCTCAGCGGATTGAATGCCAGCCTGTGAACCAAAATGTCTCCAGTTTGATTCCCAGTCAGAGTATGTGCATGGGTTGCAGGCCAGTCCCCAGTAGGGGGGCATGCTAGTGGCAACCCCACATTGATGTTTCTCTCCCTCTCTTTCTCCTTCTCTTTCCCCCATCTCTAAAAATAAATAAATAAAATCTTTACAAACAGTTTGTGTTACGTCGGTGTAACCTGGCAGCCAAGGGAGTGGATGGACTAAAATGCATGTATGTGAACAATGATGACTTCACTGTACTAGTAAGTGGGGGTGGTAGATGCCATTGAGTGAGCATGTGTACTGTGTAGCCATCATATTCAAAATGACTGAACGAGCAGAGCAACAAATCTGCATCAAATTTTGTGTTAAGCTTGAACATTTCTTCCACGGAAACTATTCGGATGACTCAGAAGGCCACAATTATGGGCAAATGGCGACTGGCAGCTTCATCATAAGAACGTGCCTCCTCATGCATCACATTTCATGCAGAATGTTTTGGCAAAACAATAAATCACTCAGGTGACTCAGCCCTACTATTGCCTAGACTTGGAGCCCTGTGACTTCTGGCTGTTTCCAAAACTAAAATCACCTTTGAAAGGGAAGTGGTTTCAGACCATTGATGAGATTCAGAAAAATATGACGGGGCAGCTGATGTGGACTGGGAGAACTGTGTGAGGTCCCAAGGTGCCTACTTTGAAGGGGACTGAGGCGTCATTGTTCTATGTACAATGTTTCTTGTATCTTCTCTAAATGTCTTCATTTTTCATATTATATGGCTGGATACCTTCTGGACAGACTTTGTATAATTAGAACAGCACAATAATTTTCAACAAGTATTCTTCTGGCCAACATTATGATCAATGTCACAAGTGAAAATAAATGTATGCTTTAATAAAATACCTGGAATGTGCTGTTCTACATGGAATTATTGAAATGCTCAAACACTATCCCTCCCTTAGGTTTCCCAACTTTTTTATTACTTAGTAGATAAAATCAGTAATGCTTTCAAAGAATATTTAGTAAAATGAAAAAGTGTTCTTATGTAACATAAAGAAAATATAAAACAATACAATATGATCAAACTTTTTCTAAATGAAATAAATAAAAATGCACAAAAAATTGGAAAGATTATATATCAAAATGTTAACTGTGACAATTTCTGGGTGTTGGGGTTACAGATGATTTTTACTTTTATCACAATGTTTTATTTTCCCAAAAATCATCTATATGTTTCTAATCAGAGTAAAAGTGATTTTAAAAAGTTTCCTAAGCAACAGTGATTTTTCCATGTTTTCTCCAATTAATCATTTTCAGTAACCGGTAGAAAGAAAAATCTCATTTCAATAATAATTAGGTGGGTATAGAAGAAAGGTGATATGTGTTTATTATTTGTGTTCAATAAATATTTTTCTTTAGCTTGATTCTTCTGCAAATATAGTTTATTTTAACTCCCCTTTCTCTGATATTCATCTCCTGTAAAACAACTACATGCAAGAGATTGTACACTGAGCGTCAATGGCCATAAAACAAGTAAATAATCACTACCCAAATATTTTATTGATATACTGAAACATATTTTATCATTTAGCAATTTTGTTATAGAAAGAATCCTCAAAGTTCAAATATTTTAAAAGCATCAGGATCATGTGATGTGATTTATACAATAGTGATCCCACCTTCCACAGAGATGACACCCACATGTCGCCTTCGACTATTCATTTCTGGTCCAAAGAACCAACTATTTTTGTGGATAGAATAGCATTCAATACTGCGAAAAGGGTCACCAGATCCACCTCGACCACCTACACAAAACAGCACACCTAAAAGTAAAGCCACAAAACAGAGGTCAAAATCAAAGTTGCCAAATTTTTAAAAAATTAATATGGAAAAAAATATTGAGGAGGTTAAAACTTTGATTAATGGCAAAAATGTGACTTGGGTAGCATTTAATGTTATTACATTATTAGAAATATAATTTTCTTTTTTCTTTTTCCTCATTCGATTTTTCTCAAAGACTAGGATACATTAGCCACCCCAGCTTGCTCACATCCCATTACAATATGGTTTGATCCTCACCCACTATGTAAAATTGCTCTCTCTAAGGTCATAAGAGCCAATGAACTCGTAAGTTAATTTCTTATGCAATACAACTGCAACATTTGATCACTGTTTTTTGAGAAATACCTTAACTCTCTTGGTTTCCCTATATCATTCTCCTTTTGTGTCTGATCTTTTTCTCTTTCCTATGTTTTTCCATGGTTCATCCTTAGCCTGCTTCTCACATACTTCATGCTCACACAGGAGAAGTTTATTCCTTTATTTTAAATCCCATCTGTATGATAATGTCTTCCAATCTATATTTGTATGCCACATTTCCACTTGATGTCCCACAGGCACCTAAACCTAACACGTTTAAGAGGATCTCCCTTCCTCACCTACCTAAACAACTTCTCCCTTCCCTGAGCTGTCGTTCTGCCTCGCTATTCCCACCGTTCTACCTCGCTATTCCCACTGCCACTGCCTTAGTGCAGGCCCTATCAGCTATTACCCACTACTGCAAAATCCTTATCACTTGGCAGTCTTTTTGCTTTCAGACCGTCAACAGAGCAATCTAATTATAAAGGTTCTTGCAACAGTTTTTCATTACCTATGTCAATAGTTTCTTAAAAGTGTTAGCAATGCCACTAAATTATACTTTTATAAATGGCAATTTTAATGTTATACAGGCGTATGTCAGAGATACTGTGAGTCCAGCTCCAGACCACCACAATAAAAGCCAATATCACAATAAAGCCAGTCACAAAAATTTTTTGGTTTCCCAATGCATATAAAAGTTATATTTACACTATACTATAGAATATTAAGAGTGCAATAGTATTATGTCTAAAAAGTGTACACACCCTAATAAAAAAATACTTCATTGCTAAAAAATGCTAACCATCATCTGAGCCTTCAGCAAATCATAATATTTTTTTCTCGTGGAGGGTCTAACCTTTATTTTGAAACACACACACACACACACACACACACACACACACACAATCAGTGAAGGCAATCAAATTGGGTATGCCTATGTATGTTTTATCACAATTAACAAGAAAATGAAATTTTAGCATGGTTCAGATTCACTCCAAAGGCATGAAACTGATTATGGGGCCTGGCCCCCAAAGTTTCTGATTCAATAGGTTTGTCGCAGGTTCAAAAAGACTGTGTTTCTACCAAGTTCCCAAGTGAATGCTGATGCTACTGGTCCAGGAGCCACCCCTTCCTTCACACCATGAGAACCTCTGTCCTACATGGCAGAGCCTTAACATAGCATCAAGGCCTGCAGTTTTTAACTAGATTTTCTCCCTCTCTTTCTCTTAAAACTTCAGGCTCCTACAACATGTGTATAATTAGTGCTCATCCTTGATGTTCTGGTAGCAACTTTTTGGCAACTATCATTCACTTAATACTCTATTTTGAAATGATCTATATTATGCTGATATTTGTTACCAGAAGCTAAGCTAGGTTAAGGCTGTGCGTTAAAGTATTTATGCACTAATAAGGACTAGCATAATTTCTGGCATGTATTAAGCATTCAATAAGTGTAAAATAAACTGAATACCCCTTCCCTAACTGGCACCTAGAAAAATATCTATTTATTATTAAAAACCAAGGCTAAGGTTTACTTTTTTATAAATCCTTTCCTGACCCTTCCAAGGTAAACATTACCGCTCTTTTCTTTGTGCTTCACACTATGATTATATCAAAGTATTTATAATACTTTATTGTATTTATTTATTGACACATCTATTTCCCTAAATCAGATTACAGGTTCTCTCAAACAGGACTATTTGTATTTGCATTTCTAATGCTAACCTAGAACCCAGCATGTGGTAGCCACTTACTAAATGTTTGCTGAAGGACTGCATAAATGAATGATCAGAACTGCTTGTGCTATCTTTTCTAATTCAATATTTTAAGTCAGAGAAATTTAAAGTTGGAAGAGACTTTAAAAATCATACAATCAAAATTGTGTATAAGTAAATGGAGGCCATCAGAGATTAAGAAATCTGCTCAAACTACAGATGTTTAATGGCATTGCTCAATTATAATCCCAGAATGTAACTGCAATCACGATGAGATTTCCTTTAAATGGAAATCAATATTTCAGCTACATAGGTCACCTAAGAATATGACATGGGAGAAAAGAAAACTAAGGATAAAGAAAAAGATCAGGATGCAAATCCTTTCTCTGCTATTTCTCTGTGGGCTCTTGAGCATACTTTTACCCTCTCTGATTCTTAGCCTCGTCCATAAAATGGAATAATGCCAAATATCTCATAATGAGGATGGAATCCTTCATTAAAGCCATTTACACTCAGTTCCTGCAGTCATGTAAGGGATCATATATGTGAGGGTCGGGCCTATGTCTGGCATATCACCTAGACTGCTAAGATGTTGTTTGAATTCAAACCTAAATCTGAAAAATTTCATTAAATACCTTGATATCCTGAAGCAGGATTCACAACTAAAATAAAGCTACACTTTAAAATAATTTAATTATTGAAACCAACATATAAAAAAGGAAAATAAAACAGCAGTCCTTTCCTGTTAAAATTATTTAGAATAACTGTACTTCAAAGGCATATCTATAACATTCAAACTTTCTTTATACTACCTAGAAAAAAAATCCCAATATATATTATGAAATATTGCCTTCTGTTGTTTTTTTAGGCTACTCCATTGGTATCTCTTATAATAACTATATTAAATAGCATCAAATTTAGAGGAAGTCTCTGGTCAGAGTACTGATACCTGAACTCCTGGACCTCATTTATTTTCCCTTCTCCCTAATATATTCTTTGTATTTCTAAAGAGTAACATTAAGTGAACATGAACTTGGGAAAAGATAAAGTCTGAAAATTGTGCAAATGTGAAACTGCGTGCCTCCTCAAAAATAACAGTGTTAGATTCTAAGAGTTTAATATGGTCTTTTATATGAATATTAGATTTAGTACCTTTCTTTTGATTTGATAAAATGCAAAAAAAAAACCCAAACCCTGAACAAGTATTTAAGAATGTACTACGTGTCAAGCTCCATGCTTGGCACTACAGATACAAAACTAAGTAAGATACTTATCTGTCTTTGAAGAGCTCAAAATATATCAAATAAATTTCAATGCAACATATTAAAAAAATTTAAAAGGGTTCTAAAAGCATAAACAACAGGAATTAATTCTGCCTGAAGAATTAGAAAGACCTCAAAATAAGATATATTTCAGCAGGCTCTTCAGAGTATATAAGATTTGTAATGGCTTTTTTATTTTTATTTTTTATTTAATTTATTGAAGTGACACTGGTTAATAAAATTATGTTAAGTTTCAAATATATAATTCTATAATACATCATCTGTATATTGTATTATGTAATGGCTTTTTAAAAAATTGACATACTGGTAAAACTATGTGAATCATGTACAGTAAGAACTCATGATTAACATCAGAGGAATGGCAGCATGAGAAATCCCCTTGGTCTCTCTCCTGAAAAATTAAACAATTTGAACAGCTGTAACTCAACAAAAGATTGTGTGTTAAAAGTACAGTCATGTCCAAGAGATCCACACATTGAAGCATCTCAAGGTAGACAACTGGGAACAAACAGCAGATAAGAAGGGAGAAGGGCTGAGCCATAGGCACAGCCCTGCTGCCAGGAGCTCAGCCCAGAGAAAAGAGAAAGCTGGCACTCCCTTCAGCCAGGAGGAGCAAAGAGATTTGGTGGGCATCTCAGCAAGACTGAGCAGTATGAGCTGCGGCAGAGCCCAGAGATCATTATCAAGAACACAGCACTGGGGTACTGGAAACAAAGTCACAGAGCCCAGTCCAGAGCTCTTCTTTTGTCCTTGGTATTGGGTTGTGGAACACATTATCTGCAAACCCAAGAACTGGTGCTACAGAAGGACTGTTTTCTCTGTGCAAAGGAAAAACCCTATGACTGATCCCAGGTTGAGGTGCAGGGGGCACCTGGAAGAGGTCCAAGGTTGCCATTACTGGGAGGGAAGAACAAAGGAGGTAGCTGGGTTCCCCCAGCCAACCCAACCGCATGTATCATGCCATGCAGAGATAGCTGGCTGGGGTCAGCACTGGGATTTCACAGAGCTAAAAACTTGCGGTTTAGTGCCACTTACTGGAAAATAATAGAAAGACACTTTCTTAGTAATCTGTTAGAGAAGTGACACGCATAAACAGATGCCCAGACAGAGAAGGAATCCATCAAATACCATGCACAAATAACCAAGGTAGTGCGGCAGCTCAGAAAGAAAGTGAGAAATCTCTAGAAATCAAACCTGAGCACATGGAAATAGATGATATAAATAACAGAGAATTCAAGATTGCAGTTCTGAAAATACTCAATGAGCTTCAGGAAAATACAGGCAGGCAATTAAATGTGCTCAGAACACAAATTAACAAAACAAATACTTTACCAAAGAGACTGGAACTTTAAAAAACCAAATTGAAATTCTGGAGATGAAGAACTCAATAAAAGAGATTAGGAATAAACTAGTGAGCACAGGAAATAGAGCTAACTCGATGGAGGAAAGAATGACTGATACCAAAAAACAGAAATCTAGAAATGATGCAGAGGGAAGAGAGAGAATTGAGCATTAAAAAAATGAAAGAACTCTATTAGAAGTATCTGACTCCATCAGAAACAGCAATATAAGAATAATAGACACACCTGAAGAAGAAGAAAGGGAGAAGAGAACAGAGAGCCTGTTCAAACAAATAGTTGATGAGAACTTCCTAAACCTGTGGGAAGAGCTAGATCCTCAAATCCA